TAATTTTTAATTTTTGCGCGGAAATATTTTTGGATCGAACATGAAAAATGAAACAGAAGAAATTTTTATTTAAAAGGGATTTAAATGGATTGGGCTTATATAACGTTTCCTCTTCAACGCTAAACGAACCCATCAAACCCAATTAACCCATCGAAAACCCTAATCATCCACTATATAAAGGGAGAGGATGTGAGACTTAAAGACCAAGAGTGCAGTTGCGGCGAAGCCTTGGCCGTTTTACTTTTCACCTTGTAAACCCTAGCTGCCCTTGGAACTGAACTTCACCGCCGGGTTGAGAGACGATTTCCCGACGAACCGTCACAAACTGTGCGATGATATACATATCTGTGGAAAGGTCCGAGTCTCAGCTTTCCAGAAAATCTAATAACGTCTCGATCCAAGTTTTGTGGTGAAAGTTATGGTCTGTTCTTTCCAACTGTCGCGATATGTCTTATTCTCGAACAACCGCAGATTTGACCAGTTTTGGTGAGGGATAGAAACCAAGGATCAAATCTATTCGGATCGATATGGATATTGGTAAGGACTTTTTTGACTCTCTTACTTACCCAAGACAGAAAGCGGTTTGTCATTTGAAGTTGTGATATGAAAGTTATGGATGTTTTCTCGTAGTTGTTATTTGCTGTGAGAGTTTCCGACCAGTCAGAGGAGAATTTACGCTGCAGTTTTGTCAATGATCGGATGAAGCTTATATTTGGTAAGCAGATTCTTAACTCTCTTATATAGTAATATTTGAAAGAATTTTGTCATTCGGTGTTATGGAATGAATGTTATAGATGTTTTACTTGGACTGATCTGTACAGAGTGAGTATGCGACCAGCCGACTTCACATACGTTTTRCGGCCAAGTCTAGAAGAACTAGATGTTGATATGGGCGWCGTTAGAAAGATCARGGATTCTAYTTTTTGTAGAAGCTTTCGGCTCTAKATTACGAGGTATGATCTGRTCYTAATTRGTATTTCAATATTYAGAAACATCACTGTTTCTGAAACTGGAATTCTTATTTTRATATCRMAMTAGAGAATTTGTGAGCTGATTTCRTYTCYTTCTGAAAGGACCCAGAAGACGATATGGATATCATTGGAAAGCTCCGAGTCATGGCTTTCTAGAGGAACCAAGTTTGTCTTGATCTGAGGTACGAGTAAGAAGTTATAGCTGTTTTCTTCTGACTYGTATAATTTGGCCGAACTGAATAAACATTTTAGGAAGTTTAATAATGGAATGTTAAACATGGGTTCCTAATCACGGATTCGCAGTAGCTCATTCTTCCATGTCAATCTATCCATAAAAGTTAAGGTGAGGGTGTTGTCTAGATTACTTTAATACTAGTTAACACTAGATGTTCTTATATGTTAGTCTAGGAATGGAATGTGATGTTGTTGGTTATATGTGCTAAGTCTATGAATGTTTGATGCTTGCTGATTGTTAGTAAAGATTGTTTGATGTGTGGAAATTGTTTGGTAGTTAAATGAAGTTAAAGATTAAAAAGTATTGTTTGAGATTGTTATAGTATAGGATAGTTCTGGGAACGATCGCGTACGTAAGCCCGTTAGCGTGTTGGACTACGAACGATCGCGTATGTAAGCCCCTTGTAGTCCATTAGGCCTTAGAGGGCCATGACGGGGAGGACAGACCCAAAACGCGAGAAAAGGGTTGGCTCCGCC